TATGCTTTCCAAGACAAGATGAGTCTACAAGCCATTAAATGAAGCTACATATGACACTACTAGTATGTTACTTTGCACTATAAAGATAATAACTTAGACTAGTGTCATATGCATGATATTAGTATAAGTTACTCCCCACTATGATCAGCCTAAGGCTCGTTTGTGTTGACCTTCCCCCTCAACATGAGCGAGCTGACAGGACAATTAATGCTAGGAATTGTAGCAGTTCAGTGGGGGAGCGGCTATGTATGGCCTGTTGGGCATTTCCTATACGACACTTGATGCGGCGGTTAAAGGCATCGGCGCAAACGGGTGCGCACTCTCTAACCTCTATCGATGTTGCATGGGTGGCCCATTTTTTCTGTCAAATTTTCAAATGGGGGGGCACGGGATTCGCACCCGACACCTTTCTTCCAATGAGAACCCCACTAACCACAACGACGTCTGAACCCTTGTGCCCACTTAATTCATTTTGTCCTTTTAATCTTTCTTCAGTTCACAGCCGATTCTTCTTCTTCTTTTGATATGCTTCTTTTACCAGTTTTATTTTGTTTTCTCTTTATTTCCCTATTTATTTTATTTTTTGCATTTTATTTATTTATTTACTTTTCTTTAATTTCATTATTTTTACAAAATGCATGAACTTTTTAAAACATTAATTATTATTTTCAAATTTGAGAAACAAAATTCAAAATTGATGAACTTTTATGTAAAATCGATGAGTATTTTTTAATTTTTGATGAAATTTTATAAAATCCATGAATTCTTTTCAAATTTGTGAATTTTTTCAAAAACTATGATTTTTTTTAAAATATATGAACTTTGTTTGAAATCCATGAAACTTAGTTTTCAATATCGATGAGCTTTGATCAAAATGTACAAACTTTGTTGAGACTCCAGATTTCTTTTCAAAATTGCCTTTTTTTTAATTTGTGAACTTTTTTTCCTGAAATTTCATTTAAAACTGTGAACTTTTTTGAATTCATGATTTGTTTTAGGATAGTTTTGTTTTTCGTTGTTTTTATTCAAAACTGAATGGTTGACTGGTCAACCATCGAGCAGTTAACCGCTGCCCGATGAAGTGACTGCATCCCGAGCCGAGGGATCGCGCGGAACCAGTCTCCGTTGGGCGAGGCCTAGGAACCTTCACGTGAGTGCCACAAAGCAGATCAGGCGCTAAAGGCGCCGTATAGGACCTCCCGGCGTGCTCACAGTGTCCAATTGTCGACACTTCGCACAAAGACAAGCGCATCGAGCGATTAAATGGACCAGCCCATTCTACAACTACGATAAGGTTTTGGGATCGTTCTGCAAGGTTCCTGAACTAGTTTTCCACTCCGGTTTTGGGATCCTTCTAAAAGGTTCCTGAACCGGTTTTAGTTGTTACCACTGTTTAGTGTTTAGTTTTTCTTTTATTTCTTTTTGTTTATGTTTTTTCTAATTCATTTTCTTTTAAGGTTAACTTTTTAAAAATGTTTGTGATTTAAAATATTTTTAATTATTTTTTCGAAAATGTTTGTTCTTTTTAAAAATGTTTGGAAATTTAAAACAATCCCATTTTAAAAAAAAATGTTCAGAATTCAGTAAATTTTCCAGTTTTCAAATTTCCTTCATAAATTCAAAAGTGCTCGTGCTTTTAAAAGATATTTGAGTATTTTCAGATTTCTTTTTAAAATGTTTCAGAATTTTAAGAAACATTCACATTTTCTTAAACTTGTTCAAAATTTTGAAAATGTTCTTGTTTTCAATTTTGTTCACGGATTCAAAAATGTTTGTGTTTTCAAATTACTTTCAAGAATTGATTTTTTTTTTTCAAAAACATCAATTCACTAAGGTAAAAACAGATCTACAGCGCAAAAAAAAAGAACTTCTCCAAAGTGTTGCACGCTACACCTGCTAATGGGTTGGCCCAGTCTGGCTTCCCTAGGAAGTCTCAACTGAAGTTTTGTTCGTATTTTGCAAGAAATATTATGAATAGCCCTTTGGAGCTCAGTCAAGCGTACCTAGCAGCAAGATTTTTTTCCCATAGTTTAGTTTTCAAGAAGGTTTTTTGTTTTCAATTTAAAAACCAGAAATGTTTTAGGTGAAAACATGAACAATTTTGAAATGTTTGTAAATTTTATTTAAAAAAGTGATCTTATTTTTATTAGGAAAAACATAATTTTTAAAATTTATATTTTTTCAAAAAACATATTTTGAAAATTTTGAACATTTTAAAAGAAAAATAAAACTAAAAAAGAGAAAGGAAAAACATAAAGATAAACCTCAAAAACTCCTTCTAGAAGGTTCCCAAAGCAAATAAATAATGAGAGGAACCTTCCTAAAACTGCTATGCATATAGTAAGCCAGGATAGCTAAATGTGTTGGCGCAAATTGCATCAGTCCTTAGCTGCCAATGTGTTTGTGCCGCAACTTGCCATAACGAGCTTCAAATTGAGAACACTCAACTCAGGCCTTGTCCGGTTGCATCCCCTCCTTACGGAATTGGAGGGGATTTAAGGGGTTTTGACTTGTAGGGGATTTACCACCCCCCCCCCCCAATCGCTGCCAATCCCGTTCAGTTCTGTGTCAATCGAACAGGCCCTGGGCCATGAATGTTGCCACGGGAAGCCACCCAGTGGGTTGTCCTCATTGGAGCGGTAGCCATCATCCAAGTTTGACATGCTCATGACCCAAAGGAACCACTAGTCGCTTGCTTCCCAGTTCCAACCGGTTGGCGAGCTCACCGTCTACTCTATGGTGAGTGCACTATCACGTTTGAAGAAGATATACACCTCAGATGAATCAACAGAACAAGAAACGAAAGCAAGACAAAATGCATGCACGGTTGTCACAACAGGTAAAACACGAAAGCCTTCAATTTGCAGCCAAGCATTTCTAGAATGTAAGATAGAACCACATCCTCATGGCAAACTGGTTAGATATTATAATAGAGTTCATTACTGCTGGGCTTAGCACAAGTGACATGGACGATGATAGCATACTTTTTTCTCCTCGAGAAGGAGAGTTTACCCGGCCTCATGCACACAGTAAAAAACAACGATAACATTAACTTAGAGATCATAATAAGACCGAAAGAAACACGTTGATCTAACTTTAAACTGCATCACCATAGATGTATGTGTAGAAATGAGCAAAATAAATCTCGCGACAAGATGACGACATGAGCCAAGGGTACCGAAGGTATACCCAAGCGTTGAGTGCTTCCTCAATCTCCAACTTGATTGTGTTAGTCGAACGTCTCAAGTGGTCAGGTTGAAGGAGGGGGTGTCAGTGGAAGTAACCAACAAAGATTTATAAGCCCGTATCTACAGGGTCGTGATCTTGTTTGGTTGGGCCTAGTATAGTCCAATCCATGCCCACCATTTTGATTATTTTTAATAAAACTAACTTTTTAACTCGGGACAAACTAACTTGACTCAACCATTGTGGTCGTCTTCCCTCACTCCATTGCGCCCATCAAACGGAAAATAAGAAGATAACCTTCCATCCATCCATATCTCACCGACGATGATATTAAGAACGTCCTACCGACCACTTCCTCACCGTCTTCACCCCTTCTAGTGGTGGGCGTTGCGTCTACAAGACGTAGGAAGTGTTGGGTACCACATCAAACCTCATGCCCACTCCTGCTCTTGGCACCACCACCTCTTCGCCCCTCGTTCTCTTCCAAAC